TTGCGGAGAAGGGGTCTAGTTATATCCCACTTACTTTACATGGATGACCTCAAGTTGTTTGCTCCAAACAAGAAACAATTGATGGAACTACTGAATATAACTGAAAAATTTAGTAGTTCCATCAGAATGGAGTTTGGAGTAGACAAGTGTGCGGTCATGCATGTAAAGCGAGGAGGGATTGTGGAATCTGAGGGACTAGAACTCTCAGATTTCACAAAGCTGAGATCACTCTCCGCAAACGATACATATAAGTACCTGGGTATGTCAAAGGATTAGGCATTAATGGACCGGACATGAAGCAATCGTTGCAGGAGCGCTTCTTTGGTCGCCTGAATAAGGTACTGAAAAGTTCCTTATCAGGCGGAAACAAGGTGCGAGCCTTTAACGGTTGGGTCATGCCAGTCCTAATGTATTCTTTTGGTATACTCAAGTGGACACAGACTGAACTTGACACCCTGGATAGACGAGTACGGACCCTGCTGACTGCAAATCGCATGCATGACCCTCGTTCGTCGGTCATGAGGTTGTACATCCTGCGGAAGTGTGGTGGTCGAGGCTTATTAAATGCTAAGACCCTTCACAACCGTGAGGTGTGCAGCCTCAGGGAATATTTCCTGAAAGTCAACGAGGGTATGCATCGAGAAGTAGCAGCGGTGGACAATGGATTCACTCCGCTATTCTTGGCAAAAGAGAACTGGCGCAAACCTGTGGTACTGAGCGTCAATGATCGCAAGGCGGCATGGCATAGCAAGGAGCTCCACGGACGCTTCTTCCGGGCCCTTCATGGGCCCAGTGTAGATTTTCTAGCGTCCGTGTCTTGGCTACGATTCAGTAATCTCTTTGGAGGAACTGAAGGATTTGTCTGCGCAATTATGGACGAAGTTATCCTTACGAATAACTACCGGAAATATATAATTAAGGATGGGACGGTTGACATATGTCGGGTCGGGCATGTCATAGTCCTGGTGAATCCATTAGACATATTATTTCTGGTTGTGGTCGTTTGGCTAACAGTGAATATTTGCATAGGCATAATCAAGTAGCCAAGATTATCCATCAGCAACTTGCTTTGCACTATCGACTTGTTGAGTCTGAGGTACCGTACTACAAGTATGTGCCCGACCCAGTTCTGGAAAATGACCATATCACGTTGTACTGGGACCGGTCTATCATCACTGACACTACTGACAGGACTATTATAGCCAACAAACCTGATATAGTGGTGATAGACCGACAAGTGCACCGCACGATGATAATCGATATCACTATTCCTCATGATGAGAACCTCGTGAAAGCTGAAAAAGATAAACAAATCAAATATCTTGATTTGGCTCACGAGGTTGTCGACATGTGGAATGTAGATTCGGCTATCATTGTGCCGATAGTCGTGTCGGCCAATGGGTTAATCCCTAATAGCCTCGACAACCAGCTTAGGAGGATAGCGTTAGGAAGTTGGGTCAAGGGCCTGATACAGAAGGCAGTTCTCCTTGAAACGGCGCGCATTGTGAGGAGGTTTCTGTCTCTGGAGCCCTAACCACCGGTAGCTTGGACCATGCTCCCACTACTGGTCGGCTCCTATTTTTATATTTTTAAATATTATTTTTTGTACTGTAGTATTTGAAAATGTAATTTTAGAGAAATTTTAAATAAATATATGGAATGGTACTTAGTTACTTACTTACTTAGCCGTATTATAAGTATCTGCCTGACCCAGTTCTTGAAAATAGAGATGTCACACTGTATTGGGATCGAACTATCATCACAGACAGGACAATTGTTGCAAATAAACCTGACATTGTGGTGATAGATCGACCAAGCCGTCGCACAATGATAGTTAATATAACAATACCACATGACGAGAATCTTGTGAAAGCTGAAAAAGATAAAGCAAGTAAATATCTTGATTTAGCTCATGAGATTGTCGACATGTGGGATGTGGATTCAGCAGTCATTGTGCCGATAGTCGTATCTGTCAATGGCCTCATTGCTAAAAGCCTCGACCAACATCTGAGTAGGCTAGCGTTAGATGGTTGCATCAAGAGCTTGATGCAGAAAGTAGGACTTCTGGACACGGCGCGTATTGTCCGGAAATTCCTCTCTTTCTGGAGCCCTGACCACCGGTAGCTAGGATTTCTTGGATTTAATTAAAAATATGTAAATCAAATATAGATAAGGTATATAGAATGGTTATGTTGGATTTCAAAACTCATAAATTTTATTTAAAAACTAGCTTCTGCCCGCGACTTCGTACGCGCAATCCCATTTTACCCCCGTTCACGATCGTGATCTTCGGTAAAAGTAAAAAAAAAATAGATAAAAAGTATCCTATGTCCGTCTCCTTGTTCTAAGCTACCTGTCCGCCAATTTTCATCCAAATCGATTTAGTCATTCTTGAGTTATAAATAGTGTAACTAACACGACTTTCTTTTATATATATAGATTTGTATGAATTTTGATTTTGATCAGAAATTAATTTCAGTCTGATGTCGCTGACATTTAGTGATTAATGGTTTTATAATTTCATTCATGAAACAAAAGTTTTACTGTAACAATTATGTTCATGTAACTTGTTAAACTAATACCGGCCACTAACACTAAAGACGCAAGTGCAATGAGAAACTACTTTAGAAGGTGCAAGCAAGAAGCTAATCTGCGTTTTGCTATGATATATTAACCAGGCGCTTTGTATACTACTTACACAAAGTGATCTATAAAGCAACAACTGTTTTTAATTTAGGAACATGACAGTTTTACGATCCTGTTAAATGTTATATTTTTATAACACGTAGGTATTGAGCACAATTGTTACTCATCAGTTTCGAAACAATATTACCCTTGGCGTAACGGTTCGCAGTCGGAGCGCCGACCTTTTTCGAATAAATAAAGCTTTCTTTGTGACTCTGCTGCAGAATATACTTGACAGCAATAGTTTATCTAACTTTTTCTACACAATTATACACAATCTAGAATTGCAGACTTTTATACCAATGCATGCTACCACATTTTTCTCCTGGTGCTATTTTGGTATCGTACACAACAATCTTAATACATATAAATTAATATGCATTGGTACCATGGACGTGTGACTGTGAGGCATACCTAGGTCATTTGTGTTGTGTGGAAAACCGTTGACAAAAGGTCCAGTGTCAACAAAACGGTATCGGCATTGAACGTCTGACGTTAGCATTTTGCTGCAGAAACATAAACCTATACTTATTATACTCTTTGCCTTAAGGTACGGCAAGAATGTTTCATTTTGCAGACCAATCATGTTGCATTATCATTGCTAACGACTGCTGCAATTTAATGTGCACTTCGCATTGATGCAGATTCGCGGCAGCATCGCCGCAGCAAGTCACCGAGGGGAGAACCATAAATTTTATAATTTTACAAATAATAAAACTTCCATCGACATTTCCTATAAGAAATGAAACAAGGTTAATTATTAAACATTCGTTTTATTTCTTTGAATGAGAATATTTGGCAAATAAACTATTCGCTTAAGAATTAACAAAAAATCACAATAGTACCCACATTGTACTACACTACAACCAATAATGATTTAATAATTGAATAAAAAAATTAGAAAAAAAAAACAAAAACAGCGAACATTTTGGAAACCCCTGCACATTTAGAACAGGGACTACTAATTAAATTGAATATCACTAATCAGCGCAAATCAAAGTAAAACGCTTTTATTTATACGACAATAATATTTTTTACTTAACCGTTAACCGTTTACTTATAACTTTGTATATTGCAGCATAATGACAAATAATTCTTACTTTCCAAAAACAATAATTCCGTTTGGGGACCACAAAAAAAATTGAACATCGATTGAAGCCGCGAACTCGAAAAAATATTGAATCTATGGTACTACCAATAATTTCTATGTAATAGATAAACTACATACCTACATTTACACGAAAACTACAAATTTAAAAACATCTAAAAATATTACAGTACACTTATGTTAACACAAGTTTTTTATAAAGTGTCTATTTCTACCTTTACGAGGTGGACTTATACAAGATTCAAATTCACGGCTTTTCGAGAGCTAAAGGAACAAAACAACCTAAGTAATTATAAATGCTCAAAACTATAAACTATACATACCTACTTATACTTACATGTAAATCTTAAGAATGTATCGTAAATCACAGATTTCCATATTCATTAATTAATACAAAATTAGTAGAAGATTAATGTGCAAATTTTAATTTACAGTCAACCAAGTCATTTTGTATGGAGGTAAGAAAATTATGATTCATCAGTATAGACATTGTAACCACTGATTGACTGCTGAGCAAACTAATAATCCCTCATATCGCTTAAAAATTATACAATTTAGCAATATAAGCTTTCTATCTCCGTCTTAATCATCTTCAATAATAATATCAATCTTTATATTCCTACCTGTACATCAAATAACTTGGCCAACCGCACATTTTTTATATTCTAAGGAAATGTGCGAATTCCTAAATTGCTATAGGGTAAGTAGAGCCCTTAAATAAGTAGCATTCAATGAATTTTGAAATAAGTTGACATTGCTATGCGGTCTTATCAAAATGAAATATACCTCTAGGTATAGTAACCGCATATGAGATATTTACAAATGTCAGACTAGTTAGGATAATTCTATTTATTACACTGATATAGAAAGCTTTGAAGACACACAGATAACATAATGATACAATTGGCAATTTTTTTTTGGCTATTTTACCCTCAAGCAAACAGTACATGGCCATACACACCTTGTTTAGTGCAAGTTATTAGCAATTATCGCAGTTATTAGCATTATGTTAGAGTTTAATTTTACGTGCATATCTAATGACTCACACTAATTAAAATGTATATCAGTCTTGAGTATAAAGTACGAGCATAATGTAATCGCTTGGCGAAGTTAGCAACTAACACAAATCTGGGGTCACAACTATAGTAGCCTACAATACTAATCTAACAATAAATTGATCGTTCAACACTTTGTTGGCGCTAAACACTTAACTATCACTTTGCGGGGGTAATTTAAAAATTCCATGTTTGACAATGTCAACTACAACCACTTGTGGATAAAGTCTCATTATTTCAGAAAGCTTCTTCGCTGTGAACGTCATTGTCCTGTTACATAAACTTATAGACGTAGTACAGTGATCATAGTCGAACACTGTTTTCGTATTTTTCAGATAATGAGAAACCTCCTCGATATTATGAGGCAGCTTCGTGGTAGATTTCATAGCCACACGCCTGGTGGGTGGCTTACTGGTGGACTTCCGAGCACTTGTTTTCGGCAAAGGTTCCGTTGGTTTTGAAATATATTTGACTGGCTTCGACGCATCTATTGTTATCGGTGCAGCTTCGATTGGTTTCGGCAAGGGGCTCATTGGTACCGACTGAGGGTTCATTGGTATCGGTACAATGTGTCTAGTTATCGACATAGGCTCCGGCATTGGTTTAGGCAAAATTTTGAGTGTTTTCGGTGTAGTGTCAATTACTTTGTTTTTATGAATAAGTGGAGCAATGAGATCTTCCTCTATTTTCTTCATTTCTTCAGAGTTATGTATGTACGGCACGATGGAGTATTTTAACGGAAGCGCCGGATGGGCCGCGTTGTGGTGGGTCTTTAAGTCCCTTATGTATTTAAATCCTATATTCTCACAATGTCCGCAGAAATGTGTTTCTCTGGTCTCGTGCTGCAGTTTAAACAGTGCGTAGTTTATGGGTAAGTTGGGATGAGCTTGCTGGTGATGGTCCTGCAAGGACTTCACGTCCACACGCAGCACTAAGCATATGCAACACTTAAACACGACATCACCCTTTTTAGCAAAGTCTGGCTTGACATTATCGTGTAAATGTGTGACTATTTCTGCATCAGGTATGGTCTTCTCACAGAACAAGCAAATAATGGGTGCCTGGTCATCTTCAGATACTCTATTTGTTTTAGCAGAGACAATGTATGGCACTCCGGGTGGTAAGGGAGTTTTCTTCATCTGCAGAGGTTGCTCGGGGTGCAACTTCATAGTGTGGAGCACGACGCCCTGCTTGGACGTGCAGCTGTAGTCGCAGTAGCAGCAGGAGTAAGGCTTGAGGTTGTAATGTTTGAGCATGTGGTCCTTCCAACACTTGGATGACTTGGTGGAGTACTCGCAGTGTCGGCATCGCTTGATGCCTGCTCGTTTATCTGCTTCGTCAATGACGAGTCGTTCGTCGTCACTCTCTGGCGCTGGTCTCTTGCTAGGTCTTGGTCTGACCGCGCCTTGCTCGGGTGTGGTTACTTTCTCTTCATAGCGGACTACAAGGAGAGAGTTGTCGCTCTCTGGAACGATCTTCTCGGGAGTGGGAGGTTCTGAGACTACTGCACTGGTTGGGAGTGGGACACTCTGCAGCATCTTTTTCTGTGTTTGTATAATGTTAGCCACCCACGCAGCTCTCATGGAAGGATCTCTTATCGCCTCCTTGGGCCTAGACGATCCCTCGTGACTCTTGCAATGAAACTGTGCCTCGTGGTATGTTTGGTATTTAGCAGAACAGTTGGTGCATCCCCATCTGGAATTTTCGTCATAAATGTTAAGTATATGTGTACTTAGCCCTACTATACATTTTCACCATAGTGCATAATGTTTAAATATTCACTGTTAATTTTAAAATGTAAAAAAATAAACACACTTAAGGCAAAATGAACAATGCTTACCTAATCTTATTGAGTTCAGTCTCCAAATGGTCTCTGAAGGTAGTCTCATCGCCGTGCAAGATGTTACACTTAGGACAACAGAACATCGCGTCCTTTGGAGCTCCGAACTCACCGAAGGCCTCGATTAGTTGCGCCGCGGAGTACTTCTCAACAGTTTCAATAGTTGGTGGTGCAGCAGTCGAGGGTCCAGGCTTATTTACTCTTTCAGTTTGAATCTTCTGTTTAGCCAGGTTGGCTTTATGTGCCTGTATGATACCCGCCTGATGGTCTAGCTGAGCAGCCACCCACTTCTCCTTGTTGATATCCTTCGGTAACTCGATGTGGTCATACTGCCTGCGATGTTCTGACGTCATATGTTCGACCAGTCCAGTTTTGTGGAACGCTTTGTACTTACAGAGGCCGCATCCCCATCTGAAAGATGCATGGTAACGTTTTAGAACATTGTTTACGTTGCGTCGGTTGCGTGTTGCTGAATATTCTATAAATTAATAACTTAAAGTTTACTTATTTAATTATGTTGTAATTGTTTAAAACTTTAATACATAAATATCTATTCAATAACTTCGTCTAGAGCTACAATTGTAACTTCTATATTTTAAGTTATTTCTTTATATATGTATTGCATATTTGTGGTGAAAGGTATTGTAATACTGACCTCCTATACTGCAGCTCCTCGTACAGATGCGACTGCATGGCTTCTCTGGTCTCCTCCACCACCACCGGGCACAGCGGACACTTGTAGTTGATTCCGTTCGGTTCACACAGTTTGCCGAACTTTGCGCATAGTTCTTCCAAACTTTCCAATACTTCATCTTCTTCTACTTCCTTTTTAACCAAATTCAAGTCGACGGATACGGGAGCGACCGAAGGGGTTGGAGCTGCAGAGGTCGAAGGGATCGCAGTTATTACAGGGGTCGCAGACAGGGATGACGTTGCTGGGAACTCTTGCCCCTCAATCTTGACCTCTGGATGACTGCTTGCCATCTTCTGCCACTGCTTCAGCCACCGCGGGGTGCCGTCCTCGTCGGGCACGGAGCCTACTCTGTAGTAGTAGTAGATGACGTCCACGGGCTCGCTCGCGTGCGAGTGGGACTGGTGGTTGTGGACGTTCTCCAACACTGACGCGCGGTACGGACAGTATGCACATCGGAACTGCATCTTGGACTGATGGAACTTGGAGCAGTGCTCTACTACCTCCGGCCGTAACATACTCTTGAACTGGCAGAAGCCGCACTGCCACGGTTTGAGGTCCATAGTGCCAACCGTTACGGGCTGGACGGCGGGACCGACGGCAGGTACCGTGTTCGCGTTTTCGCGCACTACTATGAGCTGGTTAAAGGGGTGCACCTCGGTCATATGTTTTTCCATGACCTCCCGCTTGAAGTGGTAGATCTGGCAGTGGGAGCAAGCGTAGAGGTTCTCGTCGTGCATCTTGAGATGCTGCATAACGCGGCCGGCGGTGACGGGGCGCGACGTGTCGAGCGACTGGCTGGCGGGGCAGTGCACGCAGCGGAAGGCGGGCGCGGCGGCGGCGTGCAGCGCGTCCCAGTGGCGGCGCAGCGTGGGCTCGTCGGGCGCCGTGTAGCTGCAGGCGGGCGCGCCGCACGAGTGGCGCGTGCGCGCCGCCACGTAGCGCGGGTACTGCGCCGCGCCCGCCGCCTCCGCCGCCGACAGCTGCACCACGGAGTACGGCCGCTCGGGCGGCGCGGCGCGCCCGCCCAGCGAGGACGACGCGAGGTTCACCATCTTGTCGAAGTGCATCTCGTTGGTCTCCAGGTGCGGCACGGGGTTGACGGGCGCGACCTGTGCCACGGGCTGCTGGGCCGCGTGCAGTTGGAGATGGCGGACCATGTTGAGGCGCACCTTGGTACTGAACTCGCACAGGTCGCAGTACACGAGGTGTTCCAGGATCGGATTTATCGGCAGCTCGTTGATCTCTTGGGGTTTGAAGCGTCGCTTGCTCGGCATTTCGTTGACGCTCGATTTTCTTTTTGGTACCTCTCTGTCTTTTTTAACTGCAATAAGAGTGTAACAAGAACTCCCGTTTTCTACGTCGTAGGAGACCGTTACGTCTTTTTCTTTATGTACATTTCTGACATGTCTCTTAGCGAGAGAGAGCGTGGTGAAGTTGGCTCGACAGATGCCGCATTGGTATGCGTTCGCAGTGAGTGTCGTGGCAGTGAGTGTCGTGGCAGTGTCGCAGTGGTCGTCCATGTAGTGCTTGATGATGTTGTCCCTGCTGGCGGCCCTGTACGGACAGTGCGCACAGCGACACCCTGCCTCCTTGTTAGGGTAGCAATAGAACATATGCTTCTTCAATCCGTGAATGTTCTTATAGACTTGTCGACATTTAGGACACGTGCTTAGTATCTCAAGTGGCACCTTTTGCTTGGTATGATCTTGCTGAACAGAGGAATCCACATTGGAGAGAGAATCTTCGTCGGATAGGTCTATGACGGGCTGCCTGGGCTCATCATCATCACTGTCTATGACGACAACGTCATTAATCTGAGGAGTGCGTATCTCTTCCGCTTCGATTTTAACAAAGGGCGCAGGACTAACTGTCTGTGAGTCATCTGGAGTAAGACTAGGGGCAGGAGCTACCGGGGAAGGCGCAGGTGCAGGGACATTGGCTTGAGAGATCGTAGCGAGAGGGTTAAGGGGTGTTTGTGGGAGGGTTGGAGGCAACAGAGCAGTAGTACTGACTGGTTCTGCAGGTTGAATTATTTCTTTAGGCGGTTTGGTATCCGGGGGGCTTGAGACCTGTGTGTCAGCAGGCTGGGCTGGTTCAGGCTGTGCTCCCACCAGGATGTTCAAACCAATTAACTTCTCTAGATCCAAAGAACGTTCTGCTTCCCGCACTGGATCCTCTTTTGTAGTGCTTGGTGTGACATCTTCTATGGGCACTTTCATTTTGTTTAAGAAGGCAAGTGGAAGCACTCTCAGCTCATTAGAACCCTCCTAGAAACAAAATGCTTAGTTAGAATTTAATACAAATCAATAACAAAAAAAATAGATGACGGAAAAGAAATAAAAAGCAAGCCAGGCTAACTATAAATATGTAAGCAATTATAAGGTTACAAAAGCTTTGTAATATACAACCACTAAGCAATAACAGTGATCGGATCAATTCAGTAAAAGTAAATCAATAATAACATAATAAACCTTACACCCAGTTTCAATAACACAATATCTACGTGTAGATTTTCAGACATGTTATAATGGAACTTTTATCAAAATTCTCTAGCAAGAAAATCTACACATGTACACACTAATTAGTCCGTAGCTAAAATAATGAAAACATATTATACCAACAGGTATTATTTATATTGTCCTTTTATAAGGTTACAATAACGGAAATAAGTTTAGGAGTTGCTACGTCACCGTACCATACAAAAAATGTGTTAGGTAATTTCTAACGTAAGACGATATTCCAAATCAATTAATCAGCGAAAGTATCTAATTTCGTAGGAAAAGAAAAATACGTGTCTACGGCGTAAACATAATCTACTAGACTAGACGGACGGACGGCTATACCTATTACATTAAAAAAGGGCCAAATTAAAAGTACCCTTGACCAACAAGCATGCATGAAAAAATTTATATCCATTGATGAAGTGAAAGAGGTATGTATGTAAGAACCGTAGCGGAGCGATTGACGTTCCATAATCTCTACCTACCCTCATGAGAGATAGGCGTGAGGTAAAAGGTTTTTAAGACTTACTTTGTTAGTGATGATGCGTAGATACGCCTGGGGTTGTTTGGACGGGTGTGTGGTAGCTACATGAGACAATAGTTCCGTCTCATTGTCTGCTCCGAGCACACACCAGGTGCATTGGTACAGCTTTAAGCCGTGGCTCTTCATATGCTGTACTAGCTCTGTCGGGGACGGCGCTTGTAATTGACATATCTGGAACCAGAACACCACCAGTCAGAAACAGTTCTGAAGAATTTGGAATTACTAAGACAAATATTTTTTTTTATTTAGTAATCAAAAAGGCATGTTTACAACGAATGCTGTTTTTGAGTAATTTTGAGTACACTTTTACTTAAGCTTAAGTAGTCTCTTAACATCGGAAATGAGCTCTATATTGTAGTTAGTGGAGAGCGGTCACCGGTGACAGCCTAGGGATAAAAGTGTTAATCAGAGAATTTAGTGTGTGTGTGTGTGTGTGTGTGTATGTGTTATGTTTTCTAAGTAGGTATACTTACATAGCAAGTGTGAGATGAAGCAGTTGTATGTTTCTGTTGCAGATGTTCACAGAACTTGTCCGGGGTGTAGGTGCGGAACTTGCACTTATTGCCATTGCTCTCCGCTGAAAATAAATAATTTTATACATTACTTTTCTAGTACATTGGTTTTCATTGTTATACTAAAAATGCGTTTTATTTTGTATTTTTTTTTTTTTTTTGTTTTGTTCTTAATTACTAAAATTAATATACTAATTCCAAACTCAAATAGCAGCTACATTCTACCTAGTTATGCCGGTAAAGTAAAGTATACTGTAAATACTTACTGTGTTTGCAGAAATAATAGGGCACAGCTTGTTCTCGGGTGAGCATGTTGGCGTCTGCAGGAGCGTTGGCAGGCACTGTGGTGGTCCGCAGGACGAGCGCGCTGGGCGCGGCCAGGCCGTGCACCTTGGCGGCGTGCACGCCCACGGACTGGCTGGCCGCCGCGCGGTAGAAGCACTGCCCGCACGAGTACTGGCAGTGGCCGTGCTGTTTGAACACGTGCATCACCAGGTCGATGGCGTTCCCCATCGAGTCAAAGTCGCAGTATGAACAGTTCAGAGTATCCACCCCTCCCAGACGCTGGTGTGTCGACGCATGCAGAAGAGAGTCCTCGGGGGAGTCCGACGTGAACGAACAGAATCTACCCGCACATTTAAACACCTTCACTAGTTTATTACGTACTATCATATTTTCTAGAACGACGCGGTGTTTGCTCGACATAACTCTAGCCTGTACCTCTTCATACTTAAAGATGACTTCAGGTTGCTTATTCTCTGTATTCACAGCCGGATAACTAGGTTGCAGCAGTGGAGTGTCCGCTGTGCCCAAACTTACTACACTCTGAATTACCGGGAAGCTTGAGGTTTCCTTCGCAGGAGATTCTGATGTAGATATTAATTCACGGATAGGTCGAACATTAATATATGGCTTAGTAAGAGTTGGGCTATCCGACGTAACTGCTTGAGAAGGTGTTTCTTCGGGCGTAGTTTCGGGCACAACTTCCTTTTGATAAACTGGAAAGTCGTCTAAATGCTTATCAAGGTAATGTTGTAAGCAATCTCTGAAGTTGTGTGCCCCTTGCGGTGTGACAATAACTTTGCACACGAAACAATATCCCTCCCAGTTCTCAGAGTGCTTTAATTGAACATGTTTCTTCATTGAAATCAAAAGGGTTGTCTTAAAGTGATTATCTTTGCCATTAATACAGCAAATATATTCCTTGGTACCAGATTCTGTAAAGCTGATTTTGAAATGTGGATAGTCAACTATATCATCAGAGGACTGGCTAACTGCGTCATCTACACTGCTTTGGGGTGTTCGTACATCACTCGGAGGTTCAACAGGTTTGTCTACTACGTCTGCTGGCCGCTCTGTTTCACTCGGTCCTTTAGCTTTAGACCCTTGTACGTCATGCATGACTTCATCTACATTCTCAGATTGTTCATCTGTATCCTCCTGTTCTATTTTTATTTTTGCTATATTGGGAGCGTCGCTAGCATTGTCGTCTGCTTCAAATGTAATCTTTGACTTGATACTCGACAGTGGGCTCTGTGGTTTGGCACGCTTACGCAGCACTCGCTCTGGTTCACAAACAGAACCAACGTGTTCTTTATCATCTGTGGTAACATCATCCGATTTAATCTCTTCCTTTAGTGCAATACTCTTTAGCATTAATGGCTCGGGAGCGTCGCGCTTTCGTAACAATTCTTTCAATGCCTTCTTGGACATCGCTGATAAGTTAATAGTATAAACAAATGTTTGTTCGTCATTATGACGAACGATTACATGCGTTTTAAGATTTTCAATAGAAAGTTGAGTAAAATTGCATTTTTTGCAAATATATCCAATGAGTTGACCGCTTGTGTCTTTTGGAGGTGGCGGGATATCTAAAGAAAATTGACATCGATTCTCATTTGTACACTTGGAACAGTTGTGCTTATATTCACCAGTGTGCATGCTAACCACGTGCCAGAAGAATGTTTCTAGAACAGTTTTATTGTACGCGAACTCTTGGAAACAGAAAATGCAAACGTATTTATCTGAAGATATTTTGCTAATTGCTTGGAAGTTAATTTCTTTACATTGTTCAATAGCGTCTTTAGCCACCGCAGGATCCATACGAGATAACGGGATTTCAACATGAGGGTGCTCATTTTTATAATGATATACTATGTCTGTACCAGTAAAAGAACACAGACGGCAAGGATAGACAAGCTCATTTTCACGGAAACAGTAGTTTTTATCAGTGAAACAATCCATATCTAGCATTGTCATTTCCTTTTCTGCTGTTGGGTTTATAGCCTGAGGGGGCTCTAGGATCTGTTTAGGCTCAATAATCTTTTTCTTTTTATATTTAGGTTTAATAACTCCATCTTGCCATGCAGGGCGCTTGCGCTTTACCTTTTTCTTTATGTCAGCCAATATTTCGGTACTTCCACAGCTTTTAGAAGATGCTAGTGAAGCAAGAGAACCCTCATCGGAATCAGAGCTGTTATCAGAATCATCCTCGCTCATCTTCTCTGTGGTCGTGTCTCCACAAGACTCTACTTCGAATGCGTAGGGATCCACATCCTTCGTATTTTTTGTTTTTGATTTAGGCCCTGGTTTGTATTTTGGTTTTTCTGGTTCTGGGGTTTCAATAGGAGCTTTAGGTTTAGGTTTCGGGCCAGGCTTCTTTTTCACTTTTTCAGGATTAGATTGGTCACGAGTTTTATCGGCAGGGGTCTTTACCTTTTCCGATATTACAGATTCGGATTCTAGTGCAGCTACTTCATCCTTTGTTTTATCTTCCATCATCTTTGCTAAACGACACATCCTAATACCAGAAGTACTTAAAATATCATCTCGTATGAACTCTTTAATGTCATCATGAAGTTTTTGCAACTCGCGTGGAGGTTTTTTAGGTTTTTGTACGACCACGACTGCAGCTGTAGCGCGAGTGACACGTTTTTCTGCAATTGAAGTAGCTTTCTTACTAGGTCGACCTTTTCCTTTCTTAGTAACCTTAGATTTTTTGCCAGGCATTTTCTTTTTTAATTTAGTTTTCGTTACTTGTGAACCACTTTCATCCGTTTTGGTAAATTCTTCTTCTTCCGCATCAACAAGGGTATCATCATTATCTTGGTCTTCTTCATTAATACTTTCGTCTTGAACTGATTTCGAGTCATCTTTAATGGCTTCAGTTTTATCTTCGCTTACCAGACTAGTGTCAGAATCTTTCACGTCATCATTGGAAGCAGCATTGTTGTCCTTACTTTCGTCTAGTTGTTCTGTATTGTCCTCTTTTTCATCATCAGATACGATTTCTTTTAATTTTTCTAGCTTCTTTCTAATTTTCTCATTGTCCGACTGATCGCCTAACATAGACAGCAATTTTTCAATTTTTGATTTATCTTGCAGGACAGTTAGTAAATTTCCTAGTTCTGAATCAGATGCTTTGGAAGAAGTAGGTTTGGGTTCGACAGTTTCTGTAGATGTTACGTTAGTTTCGCTTTGTACTTCTTCATTGGTACTATCCGCAACACAGGTATCACTATTATTTTTCTCCGAAACATCATCGGTATTGATTGTACTGTCCGGCGTAGAACAACCATCCATACTTCGCTCATCTGATTTAACTTTATCTTCAGTTCCTACCGGTTCCTGCCTGTGTTCAGTAGTGGAAACTAGATTATCGTTTGCAGTTGTAGGCGAAATATGTAATGTATTTTCATCTTTTTTATCTTCGGCACTATTTCTTTTGTCAGAGAAATCTGCAGGTTTTGCTTTTTTAGGACTTAGTTGTTCGATAGTATTCTTTTTAATTGATTCTTTAGAATTTGCAATTTCCCGTGTAGTTTCTGTATCACCAGTCATATTCTCATTTTCTTTAACGGTAGCAGATACTGACATACCAAGTATTTCGTTATCAGATGGTTTAGACAATTCATCAACTGCTTTAAGTACCTGGTTATATTCTTCTCCGTTATCACAAGTGTCCTGCGGAGTAGTAATATTCTGCATCATATTCTCAAGAGTTATTTCATTCATGAAATCATTGCTTGGTTCGTTTTTAGATGCCGAATCAAGATCGTTATCCAGGTCTGCAATTAAAGCATTGATATTATCGAGAACAGGGTCCGACGCAACATTTTCAGAAAACATTTCGAGTTCCAATCCAAAGTTAGAATGAATATCAACCAAGTTTGTTTGTTTAGCTTTGGTATTTTCTTTAATAGGACTACCCAATGGTGAGGGTACGGCAAGCTTATCAAAGTCATCATTGGCTTTTTTACCTTTTCTTTTGATTAAGTTTGAAACTGGACGTTCCTTACTTGTAGTTTCTGCGTCAGATTCCGAATCACTTATTACTGCTTTCTTAGACTTTCTTGGTTTCGTAACTATTTCATTCTCAGATATAGATGTAGACAGTCTTTTGCGCCGCCTAGTTATTCTTCTTTCAATTTCTTCACTGGGTTTAACGCTCTCATCAATTTGTAATGCTTCCGTTTCAGAATCCGATGTTAAAGAGCTTGCTTTAGTTATTTGATTGATTGTTTCTTTACTTTTATATTCAGGGTCATCATGCCCTTTTTCTTTCGATACAATTTTATTAATTAACTTAGGTGTTATATCTTTAACTTTATCTTTGAGTTTCAAAGACTCTTCTGCTCTTATAGTTTTACTTGCTTCTTTCTCGGTCTCTTTAGTAGTCTCACATTTTTTAAGTGTAGGTTCTTCTGTAACTTTTTCCTCGACTACACGTTTGATTTTAGGAATCTTGTAATTTTTAACACCATAACCAGAAGCTAAAATGGCACCCTTAACAATATTATCGTTAGAGTACACTATCCCACTTTTCTTTGTGCGATTATCTTCGCCATATTTATCATTCTTGCTTCTTTTTGTTTCTTTGCGCATTCTGGGATCTCTAGGGTTCTTCCTAGGAGAATACGCTGTTTTCGATGAGTTATCAGATCGCTTTTCTTCTTTATGTTTATCATAAGAATCTCTTCTACTGCGAAAACTGTGTTCTGTTTTAGTTTTGGATTTTGAATCAATATTTTTTATTTTAGCAGTATTAAACTCTTTAGTAGGATGCACGTACGTTTTAAAATCAGCCTTAATTTCTAGGAAGCTCCTTTTTTCTTTATGATAATCGACCAAATCTCTGCCTACACTAGAGGCTCTGCGATAATCTGCCTTTTTGTCTCTCTTATCCATATTTAATATTATATCATCTGAAATCACACGTTGACAACTAGACTCTCGGGTTAGTATTCTTCCAACACTTGCTGCTCTTTGTCTTCTAGCATCGAAGTTATATTCTGACACCTGATGCCCCTTGCCTTTCTCCAGAAACTGTTGGAATGTTGCATTAGTACTGGTATCAATAGTGAATGAACGACCAGCGTAAGATTTTACCGACAACAAAGATTTCTCAGACTCCATAGAAGAATTCCTTCCAATGCTTTGTGCTCTATACGAAGTTCGTGTTTGATCTTCGCGATGCCCAATACTCTTTTCACGATCATCGCGTGAATACCGACCTGCACTCTTATCACGGTTATCGAGATAGTACACACCACGTCCTACATTTCTTTCACTGTGGCTACTACGTCCATCTTCATAGCCTCCATATTGACCACGTTCTCTTGAGTACACTCTATCACTTTCATGATCTTTGGGGAACGAGCGACCGGCGCTTGGTTCACGTCTTGAAATATCTCTACTTGTTTGACGTCTAAACTTATTATTTCGATCTAGTTCTCTATCCTGACTTTTATAATTTTCTGATCCGCTGAAAGGTTTTTGTGAATTATAAGAATTTCCACGATAATAACCGCGATCTTTATAACCTCGATCCCTCTCATTGGATACAGAATTATTTTCATACTCAGATTTCCTATTAAGCCTAGGATCTTTAGTATACTTTTGAGCATTGTATTCCGGTCTACCATAGTTATTCATCGCTCCATCTGAGCGACCAAACGGATGATTAGGTGTTTTTGGACATTCGAGCATTCCGTATTTGTTCTTAGTCGACGGACCATCGAATCTAGTAAATTGATGGTTCGGTGTCGGCGGGCACTCATTTCTTCCAAAGAAAGGAGTTTGTGTCAGTGGCATATTTGAATTATGAGGGTATTCAGGCATGTAGGAATTACTAGCAAAATTATGATTCTGATCGGACCTTCCAAAGGAGTGGCTTGGTGTAGGTGGACATTCTGATCGTCCAAACGGATGGCTGGGTGTAGGTGGACATTCGGCTCTTCCAAAATGATGACTCGGCGTAGGTGGACATTCAGCCCTTCCAAAAACATGGTTAGGAGTCGGTGGACATTCGGCTCTCCCAAAAGTAAGAGGTGTTGTAGGTTGACAATCAGATCGACCAAAGGGGTGGCTGGGTGTAGGAGGACATTCTGTCCTTCCAAAGGAATGGCTAGGCGTAGGAGGGCATTCAGCTCTTCCAAATGAATGGCTTGGTGTAGGAGGGCATTCAGCTCTTCCAAATGAATGGCTTGGTGTAGGAGGGCATTCAGCTCTTCCAAATGAATGGCTTGGTGTAGGAGGGCATTCAGCTCTTCCAAATGAATGGCTTGGTGTAGAAGGACAATCAGCCCACGAGTGACTAGGTGTTGAAGGACACTCAGCTCTTCCAAACATATGACTTGGTGTCGGTGGACATTCGAGTCTGCCAAATGACTGACTAGAAGTTGGTGGGCATTCGGCTCTTCCAAAGGGATGGTTTGGTGTCGGTGGACATTCAGCCCTTCCAAACATGTAGTTTGACGTAGAAAGGTCATCGGTTCTACCGAATATATTAGGCTTCTCTGAAGATAGTACAGGAGTCTGTGGACGCATTTTTCCAGTGCCGTAATCACCGGTAAAGTTGCCGCCATATCGTACACTCTGAGGCATGTCATTTGAACTACAACTAGCGTCCCCAACATCTTCGAAACGTGATTTTCTTTGTCTTAGTAATTCTGACTTATCTCGTGTGTCTCTAGCCACAGAGGTTTCTCTGGTTTCACTCAAACCAAGCGATGGGACGTATACATGTTTTTTATTTGATTCGATGTCAAAAGATTGGTGATGAGACATCGTAGCTGGACTTGAAGAGATATTCGAGAACCCAGATCTTTGCAGGTCGGAATTAAGAGATCGTGGACTAGGACTTTGATTGGATTGAATATCTCTTTTCATACGAGGATCAAATATTGGTCGAGTTAGACCTTTACTTTGGTCGGCTAGTATACCAGGTTTTGTCTCATTACTCGATAGTCCCGCAACGTTGCCGAATGGTAATGTTGGTATACTATTGGTTGGAGACAATTTCGGCAAAGTTCTCATATCTACATCAGCTTTTGGAATTACCGGTATAGGCTTCACTGGCTCAACAGGTATAATGACTGGAGGCGCTGACTTAACATTATTAGCATCATCACGATCAGGTGACTTTGGAGCGAGGTCGTTATGAGCGAGGTCATTATATAAATCAGATGGTGTGATTTCGTCATCATCTGAACTGTCATCGTTGAAAGACATCTTTGGTATGTTAAACCTTTCACATTCCTTCTCTGTTAATTTAAGACTAGACTTCTTATTTGAATCTTCTTTAGAATCTGTTTGAGGAAAATATACAATCGAATCTTTAATTTTTCTGCTTAATTCTTCGGTTTTCTGTTTATAGTTCTCAATAGATATTCTTTTTACTTTGGGTAAAATTTCTTTAGCACTGGCCACTTTATTTATTTTCGGTTGATGTAAATGCGGTGTTTCTTCTGCACCTGGTATTGTTATAGTCTCGCTCAATATTTCATTTTTGAGAGCTTGTAATATATCTATTTCCGAAACTGTACTGTTAGTAGGTTTTTGGGGCATTGTTTTGTCATGAAGTAATGGTATTTCGACAGATTTCTCCATTTTCTCTAATTGAGCTTCAATTGAGTCCGACTTCTTATTTTGAATATCTTTATCAGTGGATAATTCAGAACGAGCACTTTCAGTTTCAGCGATCGACACATTTTGATTATCAACTTTAGATTCAGTTTTACTTTCTTCTGTTTTATTGGTTTCTGATTCAAAACCATCAGCAATTGGTTTGTAAAAATTTGCGGTATTTTTTACATTTTCTTTTGTTTTTATTTCAGTTTCTGCTTCTTGAGGCTGTTTATCATTGGTATCTTTATTTACTTCTTCACTGGCAGTATCTTTGATGTCAGAATCAATCGATATTGTTGAAGTATCATTTTCAATACTTTTACTTTCTGATGATTGTCCCACCTTTGTTGGCTCAATTTTATCAACTTCTCCTATTTCCTTCTCGTACATTTCTAATTCGGAAACGTCAGCAGTTCTAGGTAAATTCATAGAATCATTTTTAGGCTTATCAGGATTCAACATAAGACATATTTGGATTTTACGCGACTTATCTTTGTCTGCTGCATCTTTTGTTTCGTTTTCATCTTTAAACACTAAGTTACCACTCAAACTACCGTACACGTTCTCAATAACTTCACTTTCGCTATCTGATAATTCACCTTCTTCGACTTCGTGTTTTAGATTCCTTTTTTTAGATTTTGCTGTCTTCTTTTTGTAAGACTTTAATATTAAGTCAGATATGTCATCCCTGGCCCCAGTTTTCTTAAGTTCAGTAAGTATTTGCTTTCGTAACTCCCTTAATGTGTCAATATCTACGTCACCATCTTTACAATTGATGATTCTTGAGAATATATCTTTAGTATTCAATGTGCTTAAACTGTCTTCAGGCACATTCAATGTAATGTTTAGGCCTTTATTAGATTTTCGTGTTGTCGATTCCTTGGACTTTTTTCTTTCTTTCTTGTGGTACGACGGAGATGGTCTTCTAGGTGACCGTCGTGGTGACCGCCTACTGAACAGAGGTTTATCTGGCGTCCCCTCAGATGAAGACCAACATCGTGACGAAGTATCGGGTGAGACGAGGACTCGTGTGTAATTTCGTTTGGATGCTGACGGAGGAGGTGACGCCTTTTCCTGTTTGATTTTTGTTGGAGATCGATAATTCGGCGACAACGATGGTTTGTTTGGTCTCCTTTGAAAAAGAGCGGGCTCTTTAGAACCAGCAGTGTGCATTTCCTCAACTTCATTTACCCTCAAAATCTCTGGCAGAGTCTCTTCAGTCTTCACAACAGTCTTGAGTTTGTTTCTGACAGCTTCTAACTCAGATTTTTCTTGTGGTGTGGGTGTATCTATAGCAAACCCAGGATCTGGTGCCTTTTTAACTGCTGGTTTGTCCCTCTATAAAGAAAAATATTAATTAATAATTGTGAATTCTATTAAAACTTCATTAAAGTGTACTATTTAACAAACCTTATCCACTTTTCGTGCGGGTTCCACTTTCGCGTATAAGTTAAGCAAAACCTGTTCACATTTGATTAAGTTCTCCATTTTCATTCTAAAAACAAAAATTATTTATTTAGTAACAAATCATTAAGCAATGGTTAATGCATAATTAACAAAAAATCAATATTATCAGACATAGCAATGTTTTTAGTAAAACAGTAACTTTATAAATTCTTATATCGAACTATCTGTACTATTGGTATCATTTCTGCTTCAGACGCATGTAATACCGAAAATTATTGCAAATTAAATTCAAGCATATTTTACGTGGTAAGCATCACTTGTGTTTTTACATTAGGATACTCAAGTCTTTATAAAGACGGCATTTTTTATTATTTAAAAAACTTACACGAGCTCATAGATGTTGCAAGTGTTTAAAGATTAAAAGCTTTTATATATGTACATAGCAATAAGATCTAAAATTTAACTATAATCACCTTTTCTTCTTGTCTAAGAGTAGCAGTCTTAAGGATCTAATTTTATCGAGCTGCGCCTGGCGAGGATTTGAAGGTCCAGTGCCGGTACTCTCTAGCCTCCTGATCATTCTCTCCAGGAATGGAATGTGCCTCTTCATCTCCTCGAACTTCTGATCGTATTCCGAATCCATTTTTATGGCTGTAAAGAAAGTAAAAAATTCAGTCAATGTTTTATTTATAATTATAAAGAAACAAAGCTGTTTAGTAATAACAAGTTATTGTAAGCGCAAACCATTACGTGTGCACGTTAAAAATAAAACTGAATAACTAAATGAGTAAGAAAATATGAGTCTTCTTATCAGTCATATGAGTCTTTCTTTACATCCCATTAATAAATAAATCTCGGATGCGTCGCTCTAATTCATTACGATTTACAACGGGGCCAACGTACAGCCATTCGCATATTTAGTATAGAAAAGCTATTAACCCCTTGTGTACCGTCATTATAGACACAATTAAAGAACAATAGGTTGCGGTCACCGGTGTCCTCGCGGTGTTTGACAGTTGAAACTACAAAAAGTCGTCAATCTAGAAATTTCAGCACCGATAAATCGAAATTACATTTATACGTCACTACTACGCCATAGACAAGTCACAACAAGGACCAAAAAGAAGACAAATTGTAAAGAGTTTCAATTACAAAGTCGTAAAATAATACAAACAACCAAGCACGTTGGAAAAAAGGTCTTACACATAGAATACACACACATTAACACTGAGCACATCTGTCACGAGAGATGACCCGCCTGAATTGGGTAGTTTCCAGGGTATCAAAATTTAAAATCTAATTAGTCCATCAGTTAGATAATGTAAAAATATTAGACATAGTATTTTTTCATTTTTTCGTATTAAGTTGCAATACTTAGATAAAATGGCGCTAAGTTTAGGAGTGGGAGGTCGTTACGTCATAACGTGCACGTGACAACAAAATGTGGCACGCTGTGACGTCACACGATATTTCAAATTTATATATTGTCGGAAGTATTTAATTTTGTGAGAATAGAAAAAATACGTGTCTAACGTTTTAAATTAATAACGCACACGTTAATACACCACTGACATTCTGGTGCTTTTCATTTCTAAGTGACATTACGTCCGCCTTTTTTTCAACGTATGCTTGCAAACAACAAAGATGTAAACATTTGTATGATTATCTATATAAACAAAATATTGCCTAACCGTACCGTAAGTAGCATAGCATATTGCTTGAAAATCTATTGGATTCCGTGCCTAGCCGAGACAATTCCATTCAACTCGAACTGGCTTCCGACATAGATTTAGTTGGTACTTTCAGTAAATAACGGGTAAGGTGTTAGTTACATTTTTTTAATGTAGGGTAGGTACCTATAAAAGCTAAGTTTGATAAAATGGCACCACGTCATATAATATTAATAGACATATACATAAAAAAACCGACTTCAAAAACCAAAAACTAATAACAAACAAAAAGTCAAGACTAAAAAGCAAAAAATAACTATTATTAGTACTGATAGGTTACCCACCCACTGATAGGTAAGAAGTCGGTGCCATAAGTTTCATACAAACTTATTCATTAAAACCTTAATAGGTACCTAATTCACAATTTTGTGGACATTAAGTTATATCATTATGATATGAGCTTTATATCATTATGATATGAAGATTTATATTATATTGTGCCCGAATACTACGAAAATTACAGATATGGCAAAATATTGAAGTACAACTTAAATTGAGTAACCTTTCAGTATTAGGGCGTTAGTCTTTCCGAACGAATATGAAACTATATATTGTTTACTATCAAAAAATGTTGATATCATTAAAATTATTTTATTAAGTTAATATTTTTTGTTAGATAATACATAAATCGACCAAATGTCATAATAAAATGTCCGCAACTACAAAGTCGGCCAAAATAACGGAAAGAGATGCCGTCCAATAGAAATAAAAACGTAAACGGATAACATTAATAGTAACATGTTAATAAATTAAAATAAATAGAAAGATATTAGGTATACATGACAGACTGGTCGCAAGTGCGACTGCCGGTAAGGGGTCTCGGGTTCGATTCCCGGGTCGGGTAAAGTATTACTGGGTTTTTAAAAATCTCAGTTGTAACACGGAGTCTGGAAATGTGCCCGGTACATGGCAATAGGCTCACCCCCTATTACATGGGACTCATAACATAAATAGTGAAAAATGGGTGTTACATTGTATATGCACCTCTGCCTAAACGACGAGAGGAAACTCTCGTCAGCGTCTAGCTGGAAGTGTAAATAGCTGTGTGTACCACATTCCAACTCACAGTTACTGCCGGATATCCACAGCAACCGAAGCGTGTGAAGAGGCACTAAGGCACTATGCACTGTCAACTTCTCGGTCAAGGAATATTTAATAGGTTCAATTCCCGGCACAAACGATGGCAAGATTTTTACACGATTACAGTTCATTAACTTACATTCATTATCTACGTCACAATTACGAAAAATGCGCGGGATAACATTGCGCATGTCAAAATCTGACTATAAGTCGTGTCGGGAAAGTATACAAGTTAAAGTTATGTATAAAAAAAGACATGCACATTTGCATAATTATATAGTCGATCGCGATTTACAGATCGAGAACTACATAGTCACAGTCACAGAGTCAAAAGTTATCAAAGATTTGTCGGAACTCATACCGAGATACTTCCGCGGTCATTTCTAAGTGCATATAATAATGAATTCATAATAATATTATTAGAACTATCTATTGTTTAGTTCAGACGAGAATGGTGTTGGTTGAAAGGCCATAAGCCTTTGTGAAGTAATATCCGTAGATCTAAAGAAAAGCTTAGTTTCAATACTATCTGTAAACAGTCACACTGGATTCTTGCCGCTTATCAACTGTTTCCAGTGTTTAGCTCTATTCTCTTCTCGCTCTTCGTTTAACTGTGGGACAGTTGCAGTCTAGAACGCAACGATACTTCCACTGATTCAAGCAAAACTTGGGGAGACAAACTTAACTAACATGAATGCAACTCGCAAACGAAAAAAATATTCATTAGACCTCAGTGTACCTCTTCGTATTAGTGACAGGCTTAAATACGTAGTATAGGACAACAAACGATTCATTATTCATGTAATTCTATATACGAAATAGCAGTTTCTTGAAACTAGTGCACTGTATCGATTTCTATACTGAATTATTAATATCAACAGCACGTTTCGGGGTCATATTTTATAATAGTAGCAAATCTTGAAGTTTCAGCAAGACTGAAGGTGAAATAAAAACATGGTGACGAATTTAAAATAAAAAAATAGTCGGTGAGGGAAGACTGAGATGTCTATTGCTGAGGGGCGCAATCAAAGATAACCCTAACCCAGTTTGACCAGGTCAGCAGGAAAGGGTAATAATGCACGTTTTCATCATGTGACTCGCTTTGTAGTCGAACGAATTACAGTTTTATTAAAATGTCAATTCACCTCACAAATAGAGTAAAGTTGACTATAAACGACTTTAGGATGGAACACGATCGATACAATTTAAATCTATTTCCGCAGAACTCCGGTTTCAAGGTAATATTTTTCTCTGCGTGATCGTGATGTGATTTTTTCCATTGAAGTTCTCAGACCACTTGTGTACTCGTAAAATACAACATTAAATAAATAACAATAATGATAATGTGGTTATACCGTCCCGTACCGTACTGTAAAACCAACCAACTCTTTGTAAATAGAGTCGACATACAGAGATTTAAAAAGATGTAAATAGTACCGACCGACGCGACGTAATACAAAAATAAAAGAAACGAGTCCCAGAATTCTATCACTTCCAAGTGTAACCATAAAGGGGCGAGTGTTATTTTATAAAGAAAAGTTCTGCTATAATAAACAGGTTTAAACGTACCACACACAAGTCCGTACTTGCTTTATTATATTTTTAAATGTTTAAATAATAATTAATATTATATTGACGCACTATAAAGATACGACACGTGAGAACACGCTTACCAATCAAACGTAAATCGCAACAGTCACGAAGAGAGCTGACGCAAGAATTACGTATTATCATAATGAATATGTCATCATGGCACACTTTAAACGCGAATCAACGGCATAGTTTATTTAGGTATACCTACAACACATACCAGCCATCTATTCTAGTATTTGAAAGTTAAGCAGAATACACCAATATCGGGAACTGCTGGTTTAATTACGACAAAAATTAATAGAACATGTAAAACAGCAAGGAAGTACTAGTATTCATTTAGATACCAAAATGTATGATTATGCTATAGTTTTTGAACGAATACAATTGGTATACGGATTCGAATAGTTATAAAAACTATCATTACCTTTCATATGCATGTGAAAATCCAAATTAAAGGTTAAATATACAATTGGCATAACATCTTAAAAATGTTTAATTCAGTCTACATTAATTAGCGATTGTTATTTCAATATGTCAACTGATACTTCCATTGTAAGACGAACAACAACACATCATGTTGCTAGTGAATGGAGTCTTCATTTAAGTCCATTCAATTTCAAGGAATCCAAAGATCAGATGAAAAGTAACATTAGTTAAAAACTAATTATCATGTTTACCAGCTTTCTCACGTAACTGTTTTTTTTTAAGGGGGGAAAATCATCGAATGACTGCTCCCGCCTGGGTGAGGCGGAAGGGAATGTCAGACTCTTACTGACTAAAAACCACCCCGTTCCTTCTCCTGCACGTCGAGCCGGAGCCCCGGTTACCCGTTAGGTTCTCCGCGACTCCGAATCGGCATCGGCCCTATTGGGCCCTATCTGTGGTATCTCTTTGAGGCGCGCGCCGTACGCTCGGGTCTGTTTCTGGTCGGACGGGGAGCCACCCATGCTCGCCGTCCGCAGGCCCGCGCTTACGGTGGCCGGAGCATGATCAGCATTAAACTAGTGGAGTCGTCAAACTGTTACATGAATAAGCCAGTAAACATAATAATTAGTATTTCTCACGAAAGTTATATTACCTACATTAACGAGTTAAAACCAGAATATAAGATTTTGGAAAAGTCACGTATGTCGTGAAGAATACTGGTGCACGGTTCTTTATGACAGCAAAATGTCAGCCATTTTGTTTAGAAACGTCGTCAACATGTCCGATCATGTCATGTAGTGAACAATACTTATTA